CCCATATCGCCGCAATATCGACCGCTTGTATCGACCGCTTGTATCGACCACTTAGGCATTGTAATCTTTCGACTTTGGAGGGACTTAGAATTTTTCTCTCCACTTCAAAAAGAAAAATTGAAAGAAAGAAGACAAAGAAAGAGAACAAGCAGGATTCGAACTCACAACAGTATGAATCTCAAGCAACCCCTTATACCACCCAGCCACTGTGCTGCAGATGCTGAACCCTGTTGTTCTTACAGTCTTGTACCCAAAATAGGCAACATCCTATGTACACTATAGTACAAATGCTATACTAAAAAGGTTAAAATAGCTCCTAGAGGTTCAAATTTTGGGGTTATGGCAAAGGAATCGTGATAAATAGGATATTGACCTCGACTTCGGTCTATATGGGAAAGATAGGCCTCGTAAAAGACCTCGGCGGACCTCGGTATTTTACTCGGCCTATATTTCCCATATAGACCTCGTCTTGGTCAATATCCTATACTTATAATCATGGGTTATTGTGATAAGGTCATCCGGCATCATATTGCACTGAAATCGTAATCCTGTTGATGTCGATACAACTTTTGGAAATAGTTCAATGACCTCAAACTGCTAGTCCACGATTTTCTAAAACAACACAGCAAAGGAGGAACAATAAACATGTATTAAAATGTAATTTGAAACTCGGGTGTTGAGCCATAAATAAATATAGAAAGTTACAGTGATGGAGAGTTACTTTCAACTCGTATCCATATGTCTATTTCCTTTCTACATTAAAATGTAAACAAATACATTGCTGAGTCTGACACCTCGTTCCAACAACTACACTGATCCTGAGGATAAAAGGGGCAAAGCTATGGTTGGAGGTACTGAGAGATAAACAAGGCACTCTATGATAATAAAATCTTACACATCTTTTGGTGAGTATGAATGATATCCAGTCGAACCTCTTTAGAACGAACACCAAGGGGCCGATGGTATTTATTCTGTGAGTTTGTCTTAACCTATTTTATAACCAGTGAATACAATTATTTCTCCAATAGACATACGAATAGATTTCTTCTACAGCGAAAGATTCTAAGCCACACCGACTCATTGACTCGTCTTGTATGAAACAAATGAGTCACTAGAGAGGTTCTGCAAAACGAAAATGCGTACAAACTTTCGCTCTACATCATGAAGTGCGAAGCTTCGCACGAACTTTCGCAACTTTGGACGCGAAACTTGCAGGGAAAGCGAAATGAACTGTCGTAGGAAATTTCGTGAGATCGGGTCATGGCGTATGTGCACTTGGCCCGCGCAAACTACGAAAATGTGCAGAACGCAAAGTTCGTGCAAAAATGTGTACACACTTGATAGGACTCTCGCGAAACTTCGTTCGAATTTTCATTTTGCAGAACCTCTCTACTGAACATTTCTTTAGCAACATGACGGCAACTGAAACAGCAACAGAGAAAGTATGATACATGTACTGCACATTCTTGCAGGTACTACAGGTACTACAAACAGATTGCAGATCGTAATTCTTGCTTTGGTGGCACGAAACTTTATTTGGGGCAGTGCAATCTCGGCGGTACTCACAAATCAAACAGCCCAGACCCGAGTAAACAAATCCAATCATACAAGTACGAGATTTTCACGAGATTGCACCCATTGGCTTGTTTCGTATGAAGCAAACAAGTTACTGAACCTCTCCACAATGGAGATTTTCCCTGATATGCGAATTTATTTGGCAAACTCGGTCAATGAGTCCTTGAACCTTTCCCTCCAGATTGGGAACTGCCAACGATAGTATGCCACTGACCAGTGCCTTACTTGTAACGTACCAATGTGCAATGAACATGAGTATTTCGACAACACATCTAACATAAGCCTTACCGTCAAGAAGGTGAACTCGCGTTCTTCGCACACTGTAGACAAGGACAAAGAGATAAAATGGATCTAAATCCGAATAGAATCAGCACACGTTTCCATAAATGAAAGGGCGAGCATAAGCAAATGAATCGAAGGAAACCGGTCAACCTAGAGATCACCTTTCATCGAGCATTCCGTAAAAGGAGGCCTCGGCAGCGGAAAAGCTAAATTGAGAAAACAGATCCTGTTAGCTTTTCCATTAATTTTATTGCATTCCGCCCAAAATCAGCACACTTTTCGTAAATGAAAGAGTCAACACAAGCAAATGAATCAAAGGAAACTGGTCAACTCACCTGTCATTGAGTAATATCCCGCGAAAAGAGGTCTCAGCAGCACCGAAACGAAATAAGCCAGGCCAGGAGACGAAATATCCGAAACAGCTCATGCAAGAAGCAGTTCCAAAGAAGGAAGTTCCTCGCGCATGCACATCCGAACACGGATCCGCAGACTGCACTGAACACAATGTCTGCCGTGCACGTGCACAGCACGCGGCTACCACGGGTTCGTAGTAGATCTAATACCGAGCACCTTACGTAGAGACTTACGTAGCCTAAGGGAAATACCGAGCACCTTACGTAGAAACTTACGTAGCATAGCGATGTCGTTTTTTCTGCCATGTGAACACAATAATAGAAAAGCTGACAGGATCGCTTTTCTAAATGAGTCCCCCAAGTTTCACCGATTCTGGACAGGACCATATGTCATCCAGAAGGTGATCGATGATGTCACAGTCCACATTCGTTCATTGTCGGATCGCCAGAGGCTTTCAATTGTTCACGTAAATCGCCTGAAGCCATATCATCAAGTAACCGACGTAGACTTACGTCCTGCAACACCACCGACATACGATCCCGAGATACTACACTTCTACTCAGACTTCTTAATTAACCTCTTCACATTAACCTTTTCTATCTTAATATGTTCTTCCTTTTAAGAATTGCACCCTATTGTACATGCATTGTATCCGTATTTTATTCTCGGAGACCCCCTTGATTTGGGCTTCGGCCTTTGGGGAATCCCTCAAATAATAATAATGATATCAGATCGCTGGAGAGCAGAGTCCCCAAAATGGAGAAGAGTGATGCGAGTGCTCTAAATGTTCTTTCATACCGATTCGCTTAGACTCCAGTAGCCTGCCACATGGTGATGTTTTGGTGCGAACTTGGCATATTTCGGACTACTCAATTGGAGAACAGTCCAGGCTCTTTGAACCACTGGCACGTCTCTTCGCTCGCAACTCTATACGGGATCTGAAAGTTCTATGTCCGGGAGCTGTTAGCTGTTTTGTCACTTGTCACGGTTGTGCACTCATTGCTGTATTAATAATGAGGCGGGAGCTGAAAACTAACATTTTCTTTCTCAAAGCACAACCACCGGCCCCGCCAAGGAGAAACGCACGTTCTCTGACTACATTAATGTACAATGATACGAGTGTAGTGTTGACTATATTCCTGAGTCTTGTGACTCGAGCCTTGTTGTACCTACCCCAGCACGGCAGTACGGGAGTAGTTCCGTGTGGGATGGGTTTCTTGACTACACTACAGCTAGCATGCACGCAGCGCATTGTTTGAGCCGTAGAGGCTAGTGCATGCCTCGCCCACGGAAAAAGTCCAACTCGAAAACGGCTAAAATACGGTATAACCTTGAGGCTTAAGGAGCTGAAAATCACAGGGTACGTAGTGTTTGTAACACTGATCTGATGGGTCTTGATCTTAAGAAGCTGCAACAAACGGTTCCCCAATCAAACGCGCTCCGAATATGGCCATTTGTGCACAACTAGATGTTGTGGCTACCTGGCTGCACGCTGTGACGTCGTCACCTGGATCTGGGTGATTTGCGCTCAAAATCACACATGTTCCATCGGGCGTATCCGACGAACCATAGGCCGAAGCCTCCTCAGACAAAGACCATTCGACGCCCCGAACTCTACGGACTGTGAATTTAAAATGTTCACCGGACTTACCCACTGTAGCTTACCCAGGCAGGCACAGTTGATTGGTCAAAGGTCATGACTGAGACACGAGAGGTACCTGGTTCAAGTTCTGCTTTGGAGCGGTTTTTCCAGCCTTGCTGCTACCCACAGTCAACTGGAAACTTGTGGCCAGGCACAAGGGGTACATGGATGCAGCTAATGGGGTCGTTTTCTGCACTTGTGCCAGTGGTTGGGAGACTTATCCACTCACCCCCACCGTTAGGCGCTGCGTCTGCCGCTAGGGCGTATCGGGTGTTAGCGGCCGTCGTGAGCTCCCTTCGGGAACGGACACGATAATTTCCTTTTTTAAACTTTTTTGACCCTTTCACTTACACCAACCAGTACTAACCCTTTCAGTACCTGAGAACTTACTACACGGTTGGCGGGCACGCTGGCACTACGCGCAATGTTCACATCGGCCACTAAAATTATCCCCATTTCACACACCAGTAACGGAATTTCAGCATCTTAGGCTCTTCAAAAAGCTGAGAATCGCCGCTGTCGATCTATGGTGCTTCGTGGTCTGTAAGCACTGGATTGGCCTGCAAACACTTCGAGAGTCGCTCCGATGTGCCTTTGCAGTGCTTTTCAACACACAGAGACAACTTCTTTCGATTTGAAGCTCATACTACAATTGCATCTTTTTTACTTCATCATATGTCGCACATGATATGACGCAAGAAGCACCCAGGTATTGCGGGAACCTACTACTTTCCACCTGCAATCCCGCTTGGATAGCAATCTCCACAGATAGCCTTGTGACATTGTCCTTTCTTCTCTAACTTAGTGTTTCTTTTTTCCTTTCTGTATATAATTATCGAGATTGTGTCATGCGTAAAATATATTATTCCATAGATGTTCTCGGCCCCAGAAGAAATGAGCGTACAGAAATTGAACACGGGTAGAAATTGAGATCTGACACCTAATGTTTGTGCTCGAATGCAGCATCAATGTAAGTGATCTTCATTTGGTAATGTTAAAATGTGTGATGGGAATTGCAATGTAAGGTTAGCGCACTGGATCACTTTTTCGTCTTGTTCTTCGGAAAGAGATTATTTTACTTGTTGATTTATCTCAGTCTGTAGTGTTGACATCAGAGTCCATGTCTGTGTTTCCACTGAATGTGTAGCTTTAAACCAACCGAGTTGCAACAGGTCAGTGACCTTGAATAATGGAGTGGTTACATATCCATCGGGTACAACTTTCCCATCGCAAGCTATCTTTGATTGCGATTCTGGATACTACTTGAACGCTACGGGAAGTCGTCTAAGTGACTGTTTAAATACAGCCTCATGGAAATGGCCGAAAACACCTGCTGAGTGTGAAGGTGAGCTTGACTTTAGGGTGGACATACGTAGAGATAAACAGTTCCCTCTGAGACAAGAATGCGATATGACTCAGAAAAAGGACACACTTCAGGCTCTTCACGAACATCTTGAAAGTTTTTGGTTTCATTAGAATACTTTCAAGCCTTCTCATCAGGTGAAATACACGCAAGGGTAAAGGAACAAGAAAAGCATATTAAGCACAGAGGTTATGAAACCGTGCAAAGAAGATGATTTTTATTTTTTATTTTCATGGAGCAGGCGGAACGCATTTAAAAAATTTAAGTAAAGTTCACCAGTGCATGCAGCCTTTGACGTTTTTGGAGCAGGCTGGGTCTGGGTGCTACTTGGACATTTACCTTGTGGTGTTCCAGCTTGAGGGGCGCGTGCAGTATCTCTGTAGGACATCGCAGCTGTAGGCCCCTTACCCACGTTTTGTTGGGATATGTACGTGTGTATCGTGTGGTGTGATAGAGGTTCCGGTGGAGGAGACTGCTGTAGACGAAGCTCTAGGTGTTCGAGCCTCAGCTCTTGGATTTCAAATTTCAGGCCCACCATTTTGCAGTCCCTTTCTTCGCCCATCATGATAATCTCCATTGACAAGGTTGAATTACATGATACTAACGTTAGACAATTGTTCCAACGTACTGTTTGGGCTTGCTGGCTCCGGCATCACTCTGTACCCACACCCATCTTCCGGAGTTCTTTGACGAGTTCTGGGCGAGAACGGCTTGAGAGGTGGTATACTGATTTCCGCTAACCCAGGTCGATTAGGTCTTTGAATCCCACAAGGGCTAGGTCTCGATTCTCATCAAGTGACATGGTAGGGTACACAAAGGTTTGGTCACTGCTGAAGGGATGCTATACTGTAGGAGTGTAGCTGAGGCTGATCCTCAGAGCAAGAAACCGCCAACCGCACCCCCCCAAAAAAAAATCAAAAATTTCTTTTTATTAGAAGTTCTGAAGCTTGTTCTATCGGCGTCGTTTTCATACATTGCCTTTTGTCTTCTCCACCGTCACTACAGCTTACGATTGCCAATCATCCCTTACAATTCTTCGTGGAACGCTTTCTGGAAATGCACCAGTATTTAACGCAAGCTGCAACTCAGGTTACAAGTTAATCGGTGAACCTCGGGTTACATGTACCAGCGCCACTGAGAGCACAAAGATACCGATATGCTTACGTGAGTTCTTTTGCTTGACGAATCCACAAATGTATTACCTAAATGTATTACCTAACTGCTTACGTGGAGAAAGAAACAAAATTCACGCAATAAATAGAGTAAGCTGCGCACTCAGGACAACCACCATCAACAAAACTTGTTTTCATGTATAAAAGCTTGGTCCTTGAACGTTTTCTGGCCATCTCCTCAGAAGGATTACTGCCAAATCAAAACTAATTCAAAACTCGATCTAATATATATACGCACAATGCAAGTAGTAATTAGACCCTATCTGGCGCGAGCAATGAGAGCTGAAAGAAAATTACACCAATCAACGATAACAGGTGACAACGAATGAGATAAATTCACAACAAGAAAGTAACCATGCAACCCAAAAAGAAGCGAGAACTGCTGATCGAAATTCACAAACAATTTCAATGTAAACAAATTATTTTCTGCCTGCATAAGATCGGTTTGGTGGTAAAGATGTAGATCTACTCCAATACACTCAAATACCTTTGACTATTTGAACAAGACCAAACGGAAAAACAATCATCAGTAAATCTAGAGCGACAATCACTATTCCGAACAAGATGGTTAGCAACAGAAGATTCATACACCCTAAGAACACGATCAGAACCAGTACATGCTTTGGAGTTAATCATGAAACCGACCTATTAGTCCTTGCCGTTCTTGCCATTCTTGAAGAGGTTGATGTTGATGATGATACTGAAGACATGTCCATTGTTGTCACTACATGTTGTGTTGTTGATGAACGTGACGATGAAGTTGTCACTACCAGTGCCAATGACGCATCCACTGATAATCTTGAGGCTTTCTTTGACGTTCCTGTGGCTGTTAATGTTGATGAAAAGGAGGAGAATGAGAAGGAAGCTGACGATGACGATGTCGACAAGGATGGCGAGGACCTTGTTCAAGCAGAAAAAGAATTATTTTACATTGAAAATGTTTGTGAATTTAGATCAGTAGGCCTTGCTTCTTCTTTTGATTGCGTGGTTACTTTCTGGTTGAAAATTGATCTCATTTGTTATCACCTGATATCGTTGATTGGTGTAATTTTCTTTCAGATATTGTTGCTCGCGCTAGATAGGGTCTAATTTACTACTTGCATTGTGCGTATATATATTAGATAGAGTTTTGAATTAGTTTTGATTTGGCAGTAATCCTTCTGAGGAGATGGCCACGAAAACGTTCAAGGAACAAGCTTTTATACATGAAAACAAGTTTTGCTGATGGTGGTTGTACTGAGTGCGCAGCTTACTTTTTTATTGTATTACCTATTCTTGAAATATCTTGTTGCGGTACATATCATTTAGAATTTTATATGTGTTTTCTCTGGTTACAGAAATCTTTCAGTGTAAGAACACTATATCAACGACAATACAGAATGGACACGTAGAAGGAACGGCGCCTCAGTTCACTGTTCGTTGCCACCATGGTTTTCAACTGGTTGGCGATGCTCAAGTTACATGTACCAGCAATACGACAAGTACATGTGTACCGAAATGTTTGCGTAAGCTGTCCTGTAAATGCTCTTTGATTGCTTTGGCCAATTTATAACAGGTAAAAGAACAAAAACTGAGGGCCCCTCCAATTTGGAAAGAAGTATCAGCACCGACGCAATCTAGTAAAGCCAATTTTGTAACAGACCTTTTCCGTTCCCTTCCCGTCATTCGTAAGTACAGAGAATAAAGGGAAAATGTCAAAGTACAGCAGCTTTTAGAGATAAAGCAAAAACATACTTGTAGTGTTCAAATCACCGTCGAGGAGACAACAGTCGTAAAATAGCGATACATAAAACAAATTGTGCACCCATAACCATGACGTATAAAACAATTACAATGAAACAATGCGAAGAAGGGGTTGGTGCGACTTCGGCGATAGTAGGGGAAGAGTGTGTTGCTCCCTAAATGGGAGCCCGCGGTTTTCCTGCCGACTTGAATTCTCACTTGACTGACTAACGACTGCCATCCAGAGCACACGAGAAGTCAATCGAACAGTCCACTCGGCAAACCTCCAAGAAAGCACGACTCCCTGCTCAAACACAGGGAATCCACCCCCCAGGGAACTGAATGAGTAGGTTGAGGAAGATTGTGCCTGAAAAGCACCACTAGTATAGTTCTCTCAGGCACAAACATCACCAGGGATACAAAATTACAGAGACGCTCCGTTTCCAGCGCGGCACACACCTCGTGAACACCAGATAGCAGCGTGAGTCAGTGTCACTCATGGAGGTGCTGAACAAGCGCTGACGGCCGTTGGCCATTCACAATGTTGTTGCCTCCGAACCATCTAATTCGCAGGCCCGCGCTGTGGACAACAATGTGAAGAAGAGGTTGGTGCGACTTCGGCGACAGTAGGGGAAGAGCACACTCTTCCCCTACTATCGCCGCTGCGAAGCGACAAGCGTTCAAAAGTGTTGGTCATACTTAAGCCATGCCTCTGAAAAATACTGCCTGTTGATCGCCAAGTTCATGCACTGGAAGCAGTTCTTGCGTGCAGTGGCGAATGCACTGGAATGACAGCAGATCTTGCGTGCAGTGGGTTGCATTGCTTATCACAACATGCATACAGAGACCATGGTTCTAACCAGGTGGCGATATCCTTCACCCGTCTACGCACGGGGCAAGTGGTGTCCACCTCTACGACGTCCAGTGCACCCCGGACTAAGTGGATCTCTGAATTTCAGCGGCTTCTTTAGCATCCACTCCCGACATGGCTTAAATGGGAACTCCGGTCCAAAATCACTGAGAACGTTTTACGTAACAGGGTGGGCGGGTGCCCCCTCGTGCCAAATTTGGAAAATTGCAATAGGTAATTTAGGTATGTTATCCTTGTCGTAGAAGCTTCCGGTTTTCGCCATTCTGCCACTTACGACATACTCTAATGGATTCCGCAATAAAAAATGGCGGTGCCTTTGGACCGGAGGTCCCCTTTAATCCGTACCCAATGACCGGTGCGCATGCTCTGCCAGCAGCTTTGCATCGCATCAAGATCAAGGAACACTTGAGTCGCCACTCGTGGGCCAAACACATTGGATCTCGTATTGTCCGACTTTCCTGGCACTGTCCACACAGCAGTATCATCTCCCATCGGGCGCTCTGACCACTGTGTAGTATTGTCCAACTTTCAGGAAATCACTCCTGTACTGGAGCGGCCAACAAGTAGGAAAGTATGGCGTTATGACCAAGCAGACTGGGGCAGACTGAGGGCACATTTCCGCAGCTTTGACTGGGCTGCTGTCGTCTGCGATGTCCCCGAACTTGCATGTGAACAACTCACAACTGTAATTCTGGATGGAATGGACACGTTTATACCATCTAAGACCCTGACAGTACGGACGACAGACCCTTGTTGGTGGACACCTGAGTGCAGCACTGTAGTTCAAGCAAAGACTCGTGCATGGAAACGGTGGCGTCAGCACCCCGATGATGGAGATTTGCGAGCTTCATTCATCGACCTAGTGGCCCGAACAGCTGCTATTTTGCTGCGCGCCCAATCATCACATGATGCTCGTGTCAAAGCTAAGCTCAGCTCAGGCTCACTTAACGACAAGCAATGGTGGTCCAACACGAAGAGAGCTGCTGGGATGGAACGTGCCTCTGAGATACCTCTGCTGA